CCTGCATCAACAAGCTTGGCCCCCCCTCTGGCCCCCCTAAATTTGGACGCGCATTTTTGTGTCAAAATGCCACGAAGAAGCGAGATTAGCCATCTGCTATCCACCTGCATAGGCTGTGAATAACAGGTAATAAAGTTGTAAACAATATTTAGTTTATAGCACAGAGTGATCATTTAAGAGCCGCGTGCAAAGTATGAACAGCACTTAGCAGTGAAAATTAAACCGAACGCATGCACATCATTTAAATAATCATATCGCATTTTAGAGTTATGATTGTGACAAGCATTTGATACGTTTTTTTTTCTTTTATAGCGAACACACAGCTGTGCGTGAAAATAAATGTTTACAGTGTCAGTAACCACTCTAGCCTATACAATGTTGATTTTACCAGTGAATTAAATGGTCTAATAATGTTGTCAATGACAGATTGCAAGCATAGGCCTATATCTCAAACATAATTCAACATCAGAATTATAATAAGTAGAATAGAATTATTTATAGAAGCCAGTAGACCTACACATAATATTATTATTGTTGTTTTACCATATGTTTGGGAAAAACAATAATGGTTGCCAACTCTTATTAAGCTTTATTTTACATCCACAGAATCGTAAGAAAATCGTGATCTTTATTGGAAACAAAAGAATCGCAATTATCATTTTAGCCAGAATCATGCAGCTCTAATCTGTAGTAATAGAGATGGAGTCAGGATTGTTGAGGGAAGTTGGAGCAAAAATAATCAGGATACTGGCCTTCGAGGACCGGGTTTGGGCATCCCTGCTCTAATCCCTTACGAGGGACCCTCCGAAAGGATTAGGGCGTAGAGTCTTAGAAATAAAGGTACGCAAGCTGTCACAGGAATGACACCTTTTTCAAAGGTACAAATTTGTACCTAAAAGGTCCGTATTAATACCCCAAGGGTACTACACTCTCAAAAATAAAGGTACATGAGTTATCACTGGGGTGGTTACTTTTTTTAAAAGATACATATTTGTACCTAAAAGGTCCATATTAATTCCCTAAGGGTATATATTAGTACCTAAAAAGTACAGAAGTGTTTCTCTTAAAATTTGTAGGTACTAATATATACTTTTGAGTTACCAGACCCTTTAAGTACAAATGTGTACCATTTGAAAAGGTACCACTTCAGTGACAGCACGCGTACATTTATTTCTTAGTGCTCAAAACTGGTCCCTTCAAAAGACCCTTCGGAATGAAGGATTTTGAAGGGTACAAATGATAGACACTTGATCCTTTATGAAATAGTTTGGTGTCACAAAATGGCAACTGAATGCTCGAAGTTTGACATTTCCTGTACATATATTGCATTTTTCTGTAAGCAAGTACTGTAATATTTGTAAATAAAGTTATAAGTAAAATGAAGAGTTATAAATGAAGTTATTCTAAAACAAAGGAAAATTGAACATACAAATGTAAGTAAGTAGGTAGGGTGCAGCCTTCACAATCTACTCTTCGTTTCAAGCGTGTTTTCTAAGTGGCAAACGCACACCTCCTTGATCGTCTCGTTAAGATGACTCAGAAGTGTGTTGGCTCCTACCCCCTTCATTCTTCTGAAGCTGTCACTCTGGATGTTAAACCTTTCGATGGGATTAGGGCATAGGTATGTGTCCTTCTGAATGGAACGCAGGGATGGTGTGAGTATTCAGGTCACTGCTGAACAATCGGACAGTAAAAGTGTGCACATGAATGGAGAGCTTTGGAATTACATCACATGTGATCTTGCTGTACAGTTGGAAATCGCAAAGTGTATGCCAAGACTAAGCCAGGCTTTATGACAATGAAGCACTATGCTATGTATAAGAAATTAAAAATACTTACTCCTAGAGCCATTTATGTCAAAGTCGATATTTAGCCACACCATATTGATGTTTCGTAACATCTAATTTTAACAAAGTGGGTCGTTAGCCCAACGCTCAACCCCCACCTGGAAGACCAGTACGTAATCTATGGACAATTTTGCTTGCCCAATTCTCCTATAACAAGTGAATTTGTACTGTGAGGAAAACCGGAGCACCCAGAAGAAACCCACGCAAACACAGGGAGAAAATGTAAACTCCACACAGAAATGCCAACTGGCCTAGCCTGGGCTCGACCTTTTTGCTGTGAGGAGACAGCCTTACCCTCTGTGCCACCATGCCACCCAAATTAAAATTAGCAGTGTATTTTTATTTTTTACCAATGAATCGTAGGTTAAAATTTAGTAACAACATTATGTAATTTTACAAACATATTAGAAGGACTGATGCTCTCGAATTAATGAGGTCAAAGCTAGCTTCTTGCACGTGACAAAGTTTGATTCCTTTACAATGTTTCCCTTTAAAAGCAAACCAAACCAACATGGAACTGCATTGTTGTATAAGCTTTAATCCCTGTTTTGGAACAAAGCAAACAATATGCATGTGTAAAAATTGCCCAAGACATATTTTCAATATGTGTAGCCACATTTCTGGAATGTGTTTTTTTTCTTTTTTTTTTAACCTTTAAAACAAGCTCATGCACACTAACCTTTCAAATTAGCTTTCAAAGCTGTTCATATAAAAGAAACTCTACACAACTTCAGTTTACACAATGAAGATGGAAATCATCTTTATTTCAAGTATGTTTTTTTTATCTGTATATTCATTATTCTCAAGGCAACAGTGAATGTGAAGGCGCATCAGGTTTTTGATTGAAATAAACAGGAAGTTTGGGTGCAATGATCCATATGTCCTTGGCATGCGAATGTATAGTGATCGCTTACTTTCAACTCAGTCTTCATGATTCCCCCTTGTTCATTTCTCTGATGAGAGCAAAACATGTGGCAAAGTTGTGCTGGAAACAGCTCAGAGTTTATCTAACTGCTGAGAGTCTCCGCATAACTTTCTAGTGATGTAAACCATTCAAGAGCAGCTGCGTTTGTCTACAAGATGAGCAGTGGTCGTGTAAATGTGTTTCTGTCATGCACAATAACCACACAATTGCCAAAGCATTGTGTTTGGTAGGAAAAGGAGAAATTTGGTGACTAGAAAAAGTTCTGTAAGGAATAATTAAGCACTTAAATACCTACCTTAATTTCTGTTAGTAATGGAAAATCCAGATATACACTGCCATATATTATGAGGTGATGGCTTTGTTTCAAAACGGAAACTTTTTAATGTGTTTTGGACATTCTTTTACAGGACAAGAGCGTTTTGGGAGTCTTAAAACACAAACATTGATGGTTTTAAAATGCTAATGCATTATCATCATCATTTAAGTGTCAACTGTCCAAAACCCAATAAAAATAGCCAAAATGGAGACATATTGTAAAGTGTTTATTCATGAATAAGTATTTGAAAACAGTAATAATACCAGCTACTGGCCTGGCATGGCTTAATTCAATTAGATTTAAGTTTATTTTTCAATTCATCTTTATTTCTATATCACTTTTACAATGTAGATTGTGTCAAAGGAACTTAACATAGAAGTTCTAGTAAACTCAAACTATCAGTCCAGTATTTAGAGTTTACGTTTAGTTTAGTTCAGTTTAGTGTGGCTTAATTTTCACAGCTGAAAGTTTAAAAACTGAAGAGCAAATCCATCTATGTGCAGCTCCAGAAGTCCCAAACCAAGCAAGCCAGTGGCAAGGAATAAACTTCACCTATTGACGAAATTGAATGTTTTTTTTTTTGTTTGTTTGTTTGTTTGTTTTGTACAGCGCTTTTCACAATAATTATAGTTTCAAAGCAGCTTTACAAAAGGTGCACATTATTGCATTACAATCAAATTCAGAAAAATTAGGGTTATTATCAGAACTTTAGTAGTTACTAAAAATTTAACTAATTTACTAGTAACTAGTAGCTTTTAACAGTTAAAGATATTTCATGTATACATAGTTAACCAGCAATTATATAGTATCTAGGTGATGACTATGTGTATATGTTTAATGAAGTATATTTGTGTATTAAGTGAATGGGCATCTTTTGGAAAATGTAACTGCAAGCCATTGCCATGTAAACTAACCCATAACAAACACGAAAAAAAACAAAAAAAAACCTAAAGACATAAGGGTTTTAGATGGTAACCTAGAACTACATAGCCAGTACAACACCGCTGTGCTAATTGTAATCCTGTTTACAAAGTACACTAAACTCCATACACTGTAAAAATACTTGGTTCCACACAATTCCTTCATGTTGTCCAGATGTTGATTAACCTAACCTAATGTGTTTTTGTTTGTTTGTTTGTTGTTATATTTTACAGTATTACAGTAGAAGAAATAAGTATTGATCTTTTTCTGGAATTATTTCTATAATGTGTGATTATATCTTTCAAATCTGTTCTTTATTTTGTATTTTCCATTGGATTTGAGTCAGGTGATTGGCTGGGCCATTCTACAGCTTGATTTTCTTTCTCTGAAAGCATTTGAGATTTTCCTTGTCTGTGTTGTAAATCATTGTCTTGCTGACATGTCCACCCTGGTTTTATCTTCATCATCCTGATAATGAAGATGTTGGACTGAAGCAGCTAATATTAATCTACAATGACAAAGGGCAGAGGCTTGCTAAATACCTACTGACATTTCAGCTGCTGTCTGGCATTTCACTGCCTTTCTACACCTCCCTGCCTTCATGTGTTCTATACTTTTTTTTCCCTGTGTTATTTAATTTCATTACACATACATTGATTAATTTGTGAACTAATATATTTTCTTTTCTTTGCATATATGGATTTCTTTGGTTGGTATCAACAACTGGTAAAAATTTCAAGTCAATGGCACCTTTAGAAATATTTTTTCTGAGAAAAATGGTGACGTGTTCAATACTTTTTTCCCCCACTGTATATTTTAAAATAAAAATTGCATTGAACATGAAATAATTAAGTTGTCCCTCAAAAAAATCAAGAATTGTGTTGTTTCAACTTGTTTTAAGTAATTTGATTAAAAAAGCAGCAAAATATTTTTTTTGAGTATAAAAATGGCATCATATACTGAGTCACACTGATTTTCTCTTTCTTTTTAGGTGCTTTCATCGTGTGCTGGACGCCCGGTTTGGTTATTCTTCTGCTGGACGTGGTCTGCGCCAACTGCAACGTCCTGACCTACGAAAAATTCTTTCTTCTGTTAGCGGAATTCAACTCCGCCATGAACCCAATCATTTACTCGTACCGGGACAAGGAGATGAGCATCACATTCAAACAGATCCTGTGCTGTCAGCGACAGGAGAACGTGAACGGTACTGCCGAGGGGTCCGACCGGTCTGCATCCTCCATCAACCACACGGTTCTGAGCGGCGCTCACCATAATGACCATTCAGTGGTCTGAGGTTCAACAGGGGCCAGATCGACTCACTATACGCAAGAAGAGACTGTGAAAAAGGCATTTTCATCAGCAAAAGACTTGTGGTTATGAAGTTTGATTCGCTTTGTCAGTCTTTGACACTATATTGAACTATTTAAAGGCTAATCCAGGTGGATTTAAGAAGCCAGTTATAATTGTTCCCGTATTATGGAAAACATTGGTGTTTTCAGCAAGTTCTCACTCTCACGTAATAAACCAGCAGGCGGGTTGATGTCAAAAACAGGTCAAAAACACTAGTCGATTTGATGTCAAAATACGGATGTTTATTAGACATCCACACACTGCCCTTTTGACTACCAAAATAAACAAACTAAAATAAATAAAACAAATTACAAATTTGCACTGGATTTTTGTATCCCGATAATGAATGCAAACTACTTTGATGTCAAAATGACATCAAATTGACATCTAATATTGATGTCAAAAAGTGATTACAGGACTGTAAATAGGTAATTGCGTCAATTTGAGATTGGTGTCAGTAGATGTCAATTTGATGTTGTATTGACATCAAATCGATTAGTATTTTTATGTGTTACTTTGCCTGGGTAATACAACCACCTAGTAAAATGTTCAGTTTTCACAGCCACAATAATAATAAACCTTATAAATAATAAACTTTAAATAAACTTTATTTCATTAATTCGCATCAAAACAGTATTTTTGCAGGCTTTAAGTTATGTTGTAACATACAACAAGCTAAGAGTGTTACATATGTGAAATATGTCACAATTCCAAGTGTTCATTTTTGTTGAGAAGTGGTTAGGTTGGAATAAGGTGCTTATAAATATCTAAAGAAAATGCAAATGCATATAACATATAATTTCTACTAAATATATCTGGATCTGACAAAACTGAAAATATTGGAGTACTGTTAAGAAGTGATACCAAACGTGTTAAAAAGTGGCTCAAACGGACCATATGAAAAATTGGGAGTAAGAATGAGTTGATATTTTAGCTAGTTGTAATTTTTGGACTGATCGTTGTAAGAGTTTTTTATATTGTACAGCAGGTGAATAAGTGAAGGATATGGTGAAGTTTCCAGTGAATCTGCAATGGAAAGAAAAAAGTGTGTAAGGGACCACTGGGAAATATTTTTGGTGATTTATGCAAAGTACTTGATTTTTTTTATTAATATTATTATTTTATTTTATTTTTATTTTTTTGCACTGCAGGTTCATCCCTACAATCCCAAATATAAAACCCTCAAAACATGTCTCTCGGCCAAATATATGATTTAGGAGTCCAAAGGGCTTAGAATGTAGTAAAATGCTTGAATTCAAATTTCACACAGCAAGTATCCTAAAATAGATATGTGAAGCTGGGTAAACGTATACACCAGTGACTTGAAACAGTAAATTTTTCAATTCAACGTTTTTGTGACACGAACAAAAAAATTTCTATCATTCCCAATATAGCTGTGCCTTAACATGTTTGTCAAAGTAAATTTCTAACAACTTAATGAAATATTTTGTTTAAACATATTCTGTACATTCTTATGAACTTAGATTAATAGTACAGAAATCTGACTGATTTATTGAAGTTATTCAACATACCTTGAGTCAAAATGAAATGTTGCCATGTTGATTTTTTTTTTTTTTTCGAATTTCTTACGGCTCAACAAAAATTATAGAAGCGTCTTTACTTCATATACCTATGTATGTTTGTATATAATATATGTATATATTCATCTTTTAGTCAAAAAGGGATTGTTTATTGTTTAAAGTTATACCATTTGAACTATGGTATAGCTATTGTTTTTGTGTGTTTTAAACAATTTTATGGTGGCTGAAAAAGCTTAACGTGCAACAAAGAAAAACACTTCCAATTACAAAATCGCTAGCAAATTACATAAAGATCTTTATCCGTTTGACAGCACACATGCTGCAAATAGTGATAATGCAAAAACATTTTTAAAAAACGCACTGCATTTTTTTCACAGTGCAAACAAATAAATAAAATATAAAATGCGCTGCATTTTCTAACAACAAAAGAAATTTACAAAAACACCTGCAATTTTTCACAACACTTTCAAATAGCTCAGAAAAACAATGGAAATCTTTCAAAGGTGACCCTAAAACGTGACAGGTCTAGCTATTTAGACATAATTATTTAAGCTAATAAAGACAAAGGAATCAGTATATTAAAATAAACAAACAAACAAAAAAAAAACTCACCTTTTAAAGATCACGTGCAAGTTCACTAAGCAATAGTCACGGCACAGCGGCATCTGCAATGTTTTTGTTCTTTTTGCAAGTGTGAGAAAATGCAGAACAATTGATTAATTTGTTTGCATTGTGGGACAATGTTCATGTTGTAAGGATTTGCAGCCCTTCTGCTGTCAAATGGATGAAGCAAATTGCAGCATGTTTATCTCTTTCGGCCACTGTACAACGTTTTCTGAAACCTTATTCAGTCACTCATCATTTTTGAATAAACACATAAGGACCAATGTTTTAGTAAATGAAGTGCTACATAAATCTGATGCCATGCTTCCACAATTGGATATAAACAAAAGAGGAGAAAAGGGTAATTGCAACTTATTTTTCTATCTAATACCTTTGGAATTTTAAGATTCTAAAAAAGAGAATTTGGAGATGCAAACAATCAATTTTACACTATATTTCTTTACATTTCTGAGTTAAAATAACTTACATTTTTAAATAACTATAGATATGATAGGATTGCACAACATTCAGTTACCTGAAATAAATACATGAAAATATGTGGACGTTTAAACTGCATTTTTGATAATTAGACCATTAGACATTATATATGTAAAGTTATGGAAGATTTCAGATGCAAAAACCTCTAGGTGCCATCTAAAATTTCCATTGAAAATTTTTCTCAGCCTCCTTTGTTTATGCTGAGATATTTTACTTTAAAGACCAGGAAAATGACTTATTATTTGCCATTAAAGTGATATTACTGAACATACACACAGGAGCCTGATAAAAATGCAAATTTTAGAGGAAAGTTTCAGACGGCATTTAGAGGTTTTTGCATCTAAACTCATCAATTATATATTAGACTTTACATCCCTGTGACTTGTGTCCAAAAACATGTTGGTGCCACTGTAATGCTAACATCTGTGAAATTAACAGTTTTATATGGTGTATTGTTCAAAAGAGGAAAGGCTTCTCAGGAAATAACCTCCGCTTAAAAAAAAAAAAAAAGAATAATAAATAAAAATGATGTAAAATAAGTATTATGACAAAAGGATTTCCCTTTTGGACCCTAAAGAAATGTTGAGCCTAATGACAGTATTGCCTTGTGTGTTATGGGGTTGAACCTTCTATGCTAATAAGGCTGAAATTGGAAGAATTGCACTCTTTTGGAGGATTTTTGGCTGAGATGCTATTTAAATTTAAAAAAAGAGAAAAAAAAAACATATCAGTATTACCAGTTTTCATACCAAATGTACTAACATTCTCATAAGTTTTACATATGCATTGATCCATTGTTGATGTTTCTTGAGTGTTTTTCATGTTATTTGTCTTAGCAGGAAAGCCTATAAATCCTTTAAAAAATCAAATAATAATGAAAAAAGTGTTAATCAAGCAGCAAATGTTCCAGGATTATTGCAAGACTTACTCTGTTGCGAAAGCACATTCGAAGCAGTTCAGTGCTCCAAATATGGTCCATCCAGAAAAGACAGCTGTGCTTCATGGGTCATGGGCCATAGGTTCACTCCAGGCTGAGAAACGACAGTGTGTTTCCTGTTCATTTCAGCAAATGTGACCATATTCAGCTTCCCTTAATGAATCATGTATGGTAACACTTAAAAGTGTCGTTTAATTAGTGAAAATCTTAAAATGAATCTGTATATGGATCAAATCTTCTTGGCTTGTGTCATTCATATAGACAAAAGTGTATTTAATTTCCGATGACATTTTTTGTATCTTTTATGTTGAATTATTTCTTTAAATTTATTACTTCAATAAATTTGAATACTAAACTTTTTATAATATTTTATCAATAAACTGTAAAATTGTATACACTGAATATGCTTACAAATGGTTGATTCCTGATAATGAAGTAATGATTTAATGTAATGATTCTATTTAATAGACTAGACATAATAAATATTAGAATATTTGAGGGAAATTGCAGGTTTATACACTGTAAAGAAGGGTTCCAATTCATTATTGTTGTCCCAAGTTAATGTAACAAATTTAAGTGGCACAGTAGGTAGTGCTGTCGCCTCACAGCAAGAAGGTCGCTGGTTCCTTCAGGTGCTCTGGTTTCCCCCACAGTCAAAAGACATGCAGTACAGGTGGATTGTGTAGGCTAAATTGTCGGTAGTGTATGAGTGTAAATAAGTGTGTATGGATGTTTCCCAGAGATGGGTTGCGGCTGTAAGGGCATCCGCTGCATAAAAACATGCTGGATAAATTGGTGGTTCATTCCGCTTTGGCAACCCCAGATTAATAAAGGGATTAAGCCAAAAAGAATATGAACATAAACACATTGTGTATTAAACATAAAACAATTAAGTTGTCTCTAAATATCTCAAGAACTATGTTTTTTTTCTACTCATTTTCATCATTCTGTTCATAAGTAGTTTCAACAAGTAGCATGTTTTGAGTGTTATTACTAGTGATGAATATAATCCAGGCTCATTCTGAAAACGTAGCCCTACAGTATATACATTTCTGGAGAGTGCGCCAAATACATCCCAGGAGGTACTTTTTTTTTTTTTTTTTTCGCTGTTTTTGTTTTAGCTTGTCCACCAGAGGCCACTGTGTTCGCTTTTTGAGATCTCAATCTTTTTCTCACAAGTGCAATTCACTGCTCTTCTCACGTAAATCTACCAGAGGCCACTGTCAACTGACTGAATGACTGACCGATTGACTGACCCACCCCTCTCCTTCCCAAAACCCAACCAATAGAGTTTTCAAAAGCACTGACTGACCCAAACACCTACTTCCCTAAACCCAACCGACCGTGCTTTCAAAAGCAGTCCATAAAAAAAATGCTCTCGCAGCAGCCTGATTTTTATCATTTTCAGATTTTACCACATTCTCACCGTTATTTACTTGTTTTTTTTTTATTTATTTTTTATTTTTTGCCTTTTGTTTTGATGTATGTGAAGAGCCACTGTACAAAATGGTAACAGTGGAAAAGCAATCCACATAGGGGTAAGCGGTCAGTTGGAAAGCACACAAACGTAACTCGTTACATTGCCCCATAGCATTCGGTTAAAAAAACGAAAGGCAGCCATATACACTTTTGGCTACATAATTTGCAGTCTCATTTTTGTGACACGTCCCAAATACATTTCCAATGATGTATGAATGTAATTCTTAAACATTATATAGCATCAATTAACACG